TGAGTCATACGGTACAGGTTCAAAGGTTGTTGAAGAAAACGTGTGGTGTGGGTCACATGAGATTTCCCATTAGGGACTTGCGGTTATCGGATGCTGAGAAGAAATTGGTTGCGATGCGTGCGATGCTAGCTATGGGGTATGTATGAATTAGAGAAAAACAGAATGAGCGTTGAGCACCCCACATACTATAGTACCGTAGAATGAATATGGGGAAGGCCATTGCTGAAACGTGAATACCATATATCTATCAGGCTACCAGCATGCTCAAAGCATTCTGTTTGTCTTGAGAATGTATAAACAAATGAATGTGAGTGCTGCCATGTTGCTGCATTTGCACCGGCCTCACATGCTGGCTGGTAACAGCCGCTCTGGGTGAGCACAGAGGAGGTCAGGGCGAGTGGGTTCACTACCACATTGTGAGGTCAGGGCGAGTGGGTTCACTACCACATTGTGAGGTCAGGGCGAGTGGGCTCACTACCACATTGTGAGGTCAGGGCGAGTGGGCTCACTACCACATTGTGAGGTCAGGGCGAGTGGGCTCACTACCACATTGTGAGGTCAGGGCGAGTGGGTTCACTACCACATTGTGAGGTCAGGGCGAGTGGGTTCACTACCACATTGTGAGGTCAGGGCGAGTGGGTTCACTACCACATTGTGAGGTCAGGGCGAGTGGGTTCACTACCACATTGTGAGGTCAGGGCGAGTGGGTTCACTACCACATTGTGAGGTCAGGGCGAGTGGGTTCACTACCACATTGTGAGGTCAGGGCGAGTGGGTTCACTACCACATTGTGAGGTCAGGGCGAGTGGATTCACTACCACATTGTGAGGTCAGGGCGAGTGGATTCACTACCACATTGTGAGGTCAGGGCGAGTGGGTTCACTACCACATTGTGAGGTCAGGGCGAGTGGATTCACTACCACATTGTGAGGTCAGGGCGAGTGGGTTCCCTACCACATTGTGAGGTCAGGGCGAGTGGGTTCACTACCACATTGTGAGGTCAGGGCGAGTGGGTTCACTACCACATTGTGAGGTCAGGGCGAGTGGGTTCACTACCACATTGTGAGGTCAGGGCGAGTGGGTTCACTACCACATTGTGAGGTCAGGGCGAGTGGGTTCACTACCACATTGTGAGGTCAGGGCGAGTGGGTTCACTACCACATTGTGAGGTCAGGGCGAGTGGGTTCACTACCACATTGTGAGGTCAGGGCGAGTGGGTTCACTACCACATTGTGAGGTCAGGGCGAGTGGGTTCACTACCACATTGTGAGGTCAGGTAACTGCTGGTACAGGCGAATGGCTTCCTCAGAGGCGAGGGCCCTGAGAGAGGGAAGGGCAGCGAGAACAATTCGCATGCGTATGCATGGCGAGAAGGGAAGAGCGCATAGGAAAGAGAGGTTTAAGGCCAGGAAGACTGGCTTCACTTGCCCTTAGAAGCACCCCAGCTGCCCCCGAGTCTGGTGAAGCATCTTTGGGGGTTATGGTTCACTTTGTGGAGGAGGGGAAGCAGCAAGTGTCGGTCTTGCAACATGAATCACATGAAGCCAAAGGGTGGAGGAGAGGGGGTTCGTCCTGTGAGTTGTGCTGTGTGGCTGCAGCTGCATGGAGCAGCCTGTGGCTGCTCAGGCCCACTTGAAGTCGAGTTGAGAGCGCTAGAGCGGGCAGCGGCAAGGGGCGGATGAGCAATGTGGAGCACATGGGCTGGGGCAGAGGATCGTGAGTTGGAGAGGAAAGAGTGGACGCATGGATGCAGTGCAACGGACATTTGGTGCAAAAAAGTTGGCGTTCAAGACGTGAAAGAAGACTCGTTTTGAGACATCTGGTAACAACGTGAGGAATGATGCCAAGACATGGAGGGAGCGAGGCAACGGGAATGGGAGAAAGGGGAGGGTGGAGAGATATTCTTTTTGTGATTCTCAATAACGCCTACAACACCAATGGAAGAAACGGGAGGAGGGGTGCTTGAAGATTGAGAAACAAGAGAAGCGAGGGATAGGGAAAAAAGGAGGATGGGGGGATCTAGGTGGGGATGCAGGATGGGACCTGTATGCTGAGTTGCTTCAGTTCACCAACCAACTAAAGGTGTGCCTTTGTTGCCTCAAACGTTGCGAGCTGAGTGCTTCACCAATAAAAGGTGTAACGTAGTTTAAACTTACCTTAACAGGGGTTCTCGCACTTCCCAGGAAGCCCACCTTTTACAGCTTACAAGCTGGCCTCACTGATTTGAACAGCATTGAACAGCTCTGGCAGCACAGAGCAGGTAACTTCTGAGTCGACTCAAAAGTCACCAGTCTGACCCCATCGGTCTGACCCCTCCTTTTACCAGCATCAAACAGCTCAGGCAGCACAGACCCTCAGGGAACCCATCTCTTACAGCTTACAAGCTGACCTCACTGGCCTGACCCCTTTTTTCCAGTAATAAACTGCTCTGACAGAATGGAACAGGTGACTTTTGAGTCGACACAAAAGTCACCATGCTGACCCCACTGATCTGAACCCCCTTTCAGCAGCATTAAACAGCTCAGGCAGCACAGAACAGAACAGCACAGCACGGACAGCAGCCACATCCCTAATAACGATAAATACTACTGGAAAAGAAACGAGGGAAAAGGGATAGGAAGGTGCAGGAATGAGAGGAATTGCGGGAAAAGGGGAAACGGGCAGAGGGAAATGGGGAAGGGAATTTTGGGAATGGGGTGATAAGCAGAGGGGAAAAACGAGGGAAAAGGGATAGGAGGGTGCAGGAACTGAGAAAGGAATTGCGGGAAAGGGGAAAACGGGCATAGGGAAATTGGTAAGGATAAGGGAAGGGGCAAAGGGGAATCGCAAGGAATGAGGAATGGGTAGTTCGAGTTGCAGGGAATAGGTAGTTTAAATTGCAGGGAATAGGTAGTTTGAATTGCAGGGAATAGGAAGGGAAGAGGGGGAATTTGCAAGGAATGGGGAATGGGCAGAGGGGGGTGAGAGAGGACATTGTTAAGAAGGTTGTCCATATGTGTTGTTGAGTATATTTCCTTGGGCGAGATTATGGTGGAGTGGAGAGGGGTTGATCAAGGAAACAAGATCCAGCGACCTTGAAGGCTAGCTGGAGATTTGAACGAGACTAGAAAAACGGGTGTGATGTGATAGCAGTCACAATGGACAGACGATGGCGATTGCGGGAGTGCCGCAACGTGAAATTAACACTCAGCGACTCTAACACAGCCTAGAGGATAAGTGACCTGTGAGGAAGTAATGCAAGGTAAGGCAAGCACGTATGAGTAGGCGGATACGAGCTGGCGGGTGGGGGGCGAGCGGGGTTTGGTACGAATCTAGCCCTGAGAAGTATTCGAGTGGCGTGATGATTCGGAATGGGAGCTGCCACAGACACAGCTGTCACTGCTGCCATTGCCGCGAGGATTTGGAATTTGAGTGGCGTGGGGATTTGGCGACAGTCTTCCAATCACTTCCTTACCAACCTTTCCAAGGCTCTTCTCCGAGCGGATCCACGGCAGCGGCACAAGGCAAATTGCCCGGGCCTGAAACAAGACTCAAGGCCCAAAGCCACTACTGTCATGACCTCCAATGCCCACGCCCACCCCTCTGCTGCGCACTCGTCTGTAAGCCCCCGTGCAATTGTTCCGCCCGCTACTCCTGACTCTGTTCTGCCCTCTTCTCTGCCCTCTGCTCTGCCTGCTGCAGCAAGTTCTGCAGGAGCACGCAGGACCACTCTCGCCAGGTCGTCTGGGCACAGAAAAGCGGGCAAGAGGCAGGAGATGCGCCACTGACGCTGCCGCCATTGCTGCTGCCTCTAGAGAAACTCATGCTGATTGACAGCTGCGGGCTCAGAAACGATTGTCTGATGGGAGCACATAGGGGGGTAACATGGGTCGAACAGGAGAAAGTGGGGCAGAGGAGATAAGGGGAGGGAAAGGGGAAGACAGCAATTATTGCCGTATATCCACACTTGAATGGCGTCCAAGGCGGTTCAATCCAACTGCCAGGAGTTTTTTCGATAACGCATGGAGAAGAAGGAAGACGGAAGATGGGGTGTGTTGGAAGGGGAAAGGAAAGTGCATATACGAGAGAAACGCGGAAGCGGAAAGTGGACATACTGCTGGATGTGCGGCGGTTGAAAGCGGTGTTGTGAGGCCTTGAATAGCAGGCACGTCTGGGCGACCTGCATCTATGCAGCACGGGGGATCGACACAGACAGACAGATGCGGCTGGGAAGCCGGAGGGAGACATGGGTGGCCGAACGTACTTCAGTCTGATTCAAGACTCGGTGCTTCAAAATCCAAAACATCAAAACAACACTCCACTGCTGGCAAAAGGTGGGTCAAAGTCAAGTCAATAGTCAGGAGGTAAGTCAACATGGAGGCAATGAACTCAACTTCAATACAGTCACAAAAGCATCAGCACAAATGGTTGGCTCGGCAGCACACATATTCACAGCTTACACCAGATAACGAGAATCTCGTTCAGATGAGGCACAGTCAAACCACTAGGTCTTGAGTGTTGCATGTGGCAGCTTGCCACGTCACGTAGTGGCTGAATGACGTGGCAATGCCGATCACGCCCGAGATGACGGGCCCCACGGGTGTACGAATCGCCAAGGCTGTACGAATCGCCAAGGCGTTGCCTGACGGCAGAACCAAGGAAAAGAGGGGGAAAGGCCGAATCGGGGAGGAATGGGAGAGGAGGGGGAAGCGGGGGGGGGAGGGAGAGGCGGAAGGGGAGAATAGGGGGAGGGGAAAAAGGATGACGCTATCTTGGATAGCTAGTGAAGATTTGTAGCCGCATTTTCTGAACCGGAATTTCCCAACGGCGTTATCCGAACAGACTTATTCTCAAAGTTGCAAAGACGTTAAAGAAGACAGACTACTAGAGGAGACAGCCGGGTGGAGTGGGGCAGCACAGCGTGCCATGGCATGCTGTTGTGGCAAGGGCGAGAGTGTGTGCCAAACTTGTGACTGAATCATAGCATGTGGACAATGGATGGTGTATTCGAAAAGAAAAGCATGCAACCATGCAGCATTGCACCCTCGCCTCGCCTCTACCCCTCCGGATCATTCTGTGAGCTGTCCTCACTCATTTTGCTGCTTTCTTCGTTTTCCCCTTTTTGTCTCCCCTTCCACGCATCACCTCCAACTAGTCCACCGCCCCCAGGGTAAGAGTGGATCAGACTAGAGGCCTGCTAACGCACATGCAGGCCGTCTCGCCAGGCCGTCTCGCCACGCCATGTCGATAGATCATGGTTGCTCTTGAGCAATCCATGTTCTCTCCCTTACCATCACCATTACCTCTACCCCTCTCAACTTTTCCTCCCACCTCATGTCTGCTCCCACCAGCCCACCACCCGCAGGGGTACAAAGGGTGGTGGATCAGACCAGAGGCCTGCTAACGCACATGCAGGCCGTCTCTCCAGGCGCCTTCCATGCTCCCCACGTCAAATACGTCTGCGTCTCGGGCAGGTGAGGCTCATTCTTTTGGAGAGGGGAGGTTCAATCTCTGGGGGAGGGGAGGTTCGTTCTTTGGGGGAGGGGAGGTTCTCTCTGGGGGAGGTTCTCTCTTGTGCAGGTGATCACCCTGGCTGTCCAGGTAAGATATTGTTGCCTATGTGCACATGCCAGTGTCTCATGCAGGTGAAGCCTTTTCCGCCAGGCAGGTGAGTCTCTCTTGCTTCCACTCCACATCCCCTTGTGCGGCGTGTTCTATTCCCGCTGGAAACCTCTTATTTCGCTTGGACCGGTTCATATATATATATATTTCTGGCTTTGTGCCAGTCTCAGAGCCAGCCTTTCCTTTCCCCATCACCTCCTCCCCACAACCCCACCCACCCACCCATGCAGGTACATCAAGGGCTTGCCCCTGTTCGGCAGCACTGCTGCCACCCCTGCAGAAGCTACAGCAGCCTCAGCACCAGCCGCTGTGGCAGCCGTGGCAACAGCAGCAGGAGGAGAGGCGTGCGTGTTTGCCCTGGATGTGAAACCAGTGGGGGCGGGGGGCTCAGCATCACAAGCAGCTGGTGGGTCGGATTCAGAGCCGGAGAGCGAAAGTGAGGGGGAGAGGGAGGAGGGCAGCAGCGGGGCTTCAGATGAAAAGAACCAGGAAGCAACTACTGGGAGGCAGGTGCAGGTGGCATCTGGGGGAGGTGTGTTCCAGGCGCGCATGGTGGGGCAGGGGTACAAGCAGGTGTGCGGGCGGGCGGAGGTGTGGGGGGACGGAGTCGTGCCGGAAGATACCGCCCTGCTGGAGGGGGCGGAGAATCTAATCCTGGACGGCATGTATCACTCGCCTGTGGGGGCCAGTGAGGCCCGGCCGTGGTACGGCTCTCCTTCTGTTCTGCCCTCATGGCAGCATCACCTCTTGGTTTGAGCTGAAATGGACTGCCTTTACATGCCTCAAAGGCCAGTGAGGCCCGGCCGTGGTATGGGTCCCCGTCCATGCTGCCCTCATGGCAACACCACCTGTTGGCTTGAGCTGGTATCCGTTGTCAAATGTCTCCTTGGATTGGGAGGTCGAATTGGCTTGTAAGTGGAGTTTCGAATGATGAGTGGGGATGCATGGCAGGTAGGATGAAAGAGGCGGAATAGGAAGGGGAGGGACTGTCATAATGGAATGGCAGGGAGCAGATTGGTGGAATGGGAAGGCGTGAAGTGAACGGATGTGTGCAGTTGAGAGAGGTGGGTGGGAGGGAGTGATGCGCACAATCTTACTGTAGAAGGTGCAGACAGGATGATTGCAAGTGGGCGTACCATATCAACCGTGCAGCCGCATGTAGTGAAACTTTAGCAGGCAGTTTGGCTCAGCTCTCAAAGGCCAGACATGAATTTGAGGTGGTGTATATTAAGGCTGAATTTAAGTTTTTGTATGCCTTGCAGCTTGTATTGGTACAGTCGTCCATAACTCGTGCAATCGCTCAACGGTTTTTGTTTGTAGTGGAGCTATTTTTTGCGAGCTATGGAATTTTCTGCACCGAGTTCCGTTCTACACCTTGATTGGCAGCCCGTATACTGGATGGATTTCGCCACACCAATCAGGCAAACATTGACGGCTCATTTTCATCCTAGTCACTATCCATCGCGAATTGACGGTCGGAGATGAACGGAACTGAGACGGCAAAAATACGAGGACTCGTTTCTAATCATCATTCCATGCGAGGCAAGAGATGATGGAACTTAGACGGGAACAACATGGTAACTTTGATTTAGGTCACGAAATCACCAAGGCTTGAAATAGACGACATCACGATTGTCGCGAGCTGTACACGATGACACTCAATGTTCGTGAGTGTTTACGCCATGAGCTGAACCGCGAGCTGAAGTCAACCATCTTGAACCATGAAGTGCGCGCCGCAACTCGCATGTCCCTGGCTCCCAGCGCCCTAGCAAGCCGTAAGTCTATCGTCCTGCCAAACTTTTCCTCTTAGCAGATCTAAGGCAGCGAAACGAGCAGAAAGCACAAACCTCGAACAGGACTCAAGGCCCCGAGGCACTCCCGTCACAGCTCTATAACAACGCCATCCACGCAGGACAATCGTGTGTTTCTCACCTCTTTTCTCGGAACTGTTTATAGAGTTCGTAGTTTATGAAATTATCTAGTCGCCCCTGGTCTTACATTGTGGTAGTAGAGTCATGTTGCGAGCATCGTTTAATATACTGCCAGACGAGCTCATCTGCCACGTCTTCCGTTGCCTAAACACGCAGTCGCCTAGCTACTTCAATCATGCATTGGTCTGCAAATGTTGGAACCGCCTAGCTTACCTTGCACAGACGTCCATCCCAAAAATCGTTCTGGGAGAGAAGTCGTATTTGGAGATGAAGTACCCACCTTGGTGCTAGGAACAAAGTAATGTCGAGGTCGATGCATTGTTGATGAGTTGTACAAGGGTAGTTTTATAGCCACCTCGCACACGGCAAATACTCCTGAATAAACTCAACACATTGTACTTTGTCAGAAGTAAAATCTCAGTCTGTACCATATTTCTCTTGGTGTCGACTTTGTAGCTGCTGATACGGTAGATACATTGCAATGGCAAACGACTCGTATCTATTAAAAATTGCTGTTGGTTTTTGCACGAGTTTACCCGGACTGTCTGAGTGTGGTAGCTAAAGAAAGGACGTCCGTAGATGCAAGTACTCATGAACGGACAAGATTTTTTTTTTTTTTTTTTTTTGGTAATTGATATGTACACCGAACAAAACAAGCATACATGATCAATAACAGTCGTGACTGTGCATGAGGGGAGACCCCACGGTCGCCCCAGGTGTGGCCTCTAAGGAGGACGGTGAGTCATCCTCGGTGCAATCCAGACATTTGCAAAAGCGTTCGTCCACGTCCACGACTTGCGATTTTTGTCCCGGATCTGAAACAACAGCCTGTCTTCCTGTTCCATTGTGCGACGAAATTTCTCCTCCTGGCGTGTACCCTGGCACTTCCTCCACCTCGTCTCCCTCGTCCGCGTGTACAGCCTTGCATGGAGCCGAAAGGCCGTTTCGACCCTCCGGAGCACCTTCCTCGCACGAAACCGTTGCCCTCGGAAAACAGCATGACACCGCTCCAGCCACAGCTGATGAAGCGTGATTGACGTAATCGTGGCTTCCGGAAAAGCTGAGCTGGACCCTGCCTTCTGAAACAGCAGGTCCCCAAGAGACGGCACCTCGCGTGGGGCATTCATCAGGCGGAGAGTTTTCAGGAGCGCCAAGAGCACTGGCTGTATCTTCGGGCAACTGTAGAGACAGTGCTCGAGGGTTTCTACCCCGCCGCAATAAGGGCAGACCGGTTTGCTGCTCAAAAACGCCACCCGCTCCCCAACCTGCAGATTGAAATTGTGGATCCGTAGCAGAAGGTCCCTCGGTTTGCTTGGCGTAGCCAGTGAGTCCCGAATGGCAATAGTCCGTTTCCAGTTTATCTGCCCGCTCCACCTATCGTTCCACAGTGTCTGCTTCGCCGATAGCTTCTGCCCCTCCCGCCAAAGCAACTTCAACCGCTTCAGAGGCGCAACTCCCCCGCCCTCGAAGATGGGGAAGTCGGAAAGGTTGCGCCCCACAGAATGACGAAAACTCCGAACCTCATCTGAAGCACCCCCCCGAGAGTCCTGAGCGGGCGCAGAGAGCAGCAACTCCCTCCATCTCAGGGGGGCAGCATCGAAAGCCTTCAGCGCTAGCCTAGCGGAGGCTTTCTCTCCCAGCTCCCTCGCTAGTACAGCCAAAGATTTGAGTGCAGGAGCCCCAGACTCGCCGATTGCTAGCAGATCACCCAACCGTAGCTCCCACAGCAGCTCCGCCTCCTTTTGCCCGCCAATCGGCGTTGTTCCTTTCAGCAAAATATGCTTGTTGAAGACGACGCGCTCCTTTCCCACCGCGTCACGAGTGTTTGCTTCCGGAAGGTTACCTAGCGGCGTTTTCATAAAATTCACGACCACCACCTTCCAGCGGGAACTTTTCCCCTCCCAGTGGCGAAGCAGCTTCTCATGAGCAAAGAAGGTTTCGACCCCCATGGGCAAACCCGCCGCCCGCGTCATGAGGTGCCGTTTCAGCGCATTCGTCTCCAGCACCAGTAAACCCACGCGGCGAGCCGTGAGACACGCCAAGATCATCTCCGGGTCATGCAGGCCCACACCCCCCAGCCTCCTTGGAGTGTGAAGCAGATCGTTGCTCCAGAGCCGAAACACCGTGTCTGGCGTTGCCTTATTACCAGAGACGAAGTTGTAGAGAGTCTTTGAGACAGTGCCCCACAGCTTCGCTGGAGGCGGGTAGACTTGTGCTTGAAACGCTGCTTTGGGCATCATGTAACAGTTAACCACCGCCGTCCTTGCCACGGTTGGAAGGAATTTCTATTGCCACTGGATAATCTTCCCTGTCATTGCTTCTGCAGTTTTTTCCCACGTGGGCAGGCAGCTTCCCGAGGGAGTGACCCAAACCCCCAGCAGCTTCTCCGCTTCATCCGCCTTCGCCCAACGGAACCCGTTCGCCCGACCAGTCATTCTGCCAAGGTTGTTCCCCAACGGTAAGATAACCGACTTGTCCCTGTTGGTCGCGAGTCCCGAGGTCAACTCAAACTTTGCTAACACCTGCTCAGCCCTGATGATCTGCTGCTTCCCCTCCAGGACCAAAGTGGTATCATCCGCGTAGCCGATATACGCCAGCTGCTCGCTCCCCTTGCAGATGCCCAATTTTCGCTTCAGGACCAGCTGCGCCAAAGGCTCAACCGCACACAGAAAAAGGTACGGAGCCAGGGGACAACCCTGCCAGACCCCCGAAATCACCTCCACACCGTCTCCCATCCAGCCGTTGACTAACAGATGTGTCTGCGTTCCCGCATGCAGGCCTTCCACCCACCGCACCAACCGTTCAGGGAAGCCCATCACCCGAAGCGTTCGGAAGAGGTAGCCACGGGAGACAGAGTCAAACGCCTTCTTGAAGTCAACCAAGAGGAGAAACCAATCCTCATTGTCATTTCGCGCCGCATCAATGATATCAGCCACAAGCCCCACTGCATCCGTCAGCCGCCGCCCCGGGAGGAAACCGTACTGCTCCGGTGAGATCACCCGACACAGAAACTTCTTCATCCTGTCAGCCACTACTCTCGCCAACACCTTGTAAGTGAAATTGAGGAGAGTGATGGGGCGGTAATTGTTGAGCTGATCTTTGTCCCCCCTTTTGTGCAAAAGTATCGTCACCGCTTCCTTCACCTCCGTCGAGAGGACCGCTGTTCATGCGAAATCCTTTGCTAAGGCCATGAAGCCTTTACCCAACAAATCCCAGTGTGCTTCAAACAGTTCCTTTGGCAGACCATCCTTCCCAGGCGACTTGTTCGCCGCCATCGCACCGAAGGCTTTCTTGACTTCCTCTTCCGTCCAATCCGCCGCCAGTTCCTCTGCTTCCCAGCTTCTCAGCTTTCTATCCGACGCAGGGCGCCAGTCATCTTCTAGCTGACCACGGTCCCGCCCAAAGATTTCTGCGAAGAACTCCGATGCTGCACGAAGAATGCCTTGGGAGTCCGAGACAACCCCTGACGCCGTCTGCAACTCTGCAATCTGAGTACACGCTTTCTTAGCCTGCACCAGCGCCGTCAAATGCTTTGACGCCACCTCCCCCCGGAGCTCCATCCGCAGACCCGACATCAGGAACAGCTTGTCCTTTCTCGACGCTTGGTACTCGCGCAATTGCGCCTCCTGCACAGCTAACCGCTCGCTCGTTGATTTGCAGGATGGATCTCGCATCATGGCCTGACGGAGTTCCGCCACCTCAACCGCCAGATGAGTTACCGTCGCTTTCACCCGCTTGCCATCTTCTCTGGCGAACGCTCGGAGCCCAGCCGCCAGCCGCGAAAGAAGCAGTTCGAAGCGGCTACCATCAGTGACAACACACCTCTCCACCGTCGCTTCCACAATCCGCCGAACTCCAGGCTTGCGGACCATAGACGCGTGGAGTCTCCAGAGACTGGGACCGAGACAGATCTTGGCATCAATTCGAAGAGCCACCCGTATCGCAAAGCTGTGATCCGAGATGTACTCCACCGGCATCACGTGAGAAGCCTGTATCAGGTGAGGTAAGAGAGAGTGGGAGATAAGAGCCCGGTCAATGCGCGTGCTGGATTGCGTCGCTTGAGAGAAGAAGGTGAACTCCCGCTTTCTAGGATATAACGTTCGGAAAGCGTCGGAGAGCTGGAAGGCGGTGCAACAGTGAAAAAGCCTATCGTTTTCCGCAGACGAGCCTACACGGGACGACTTATCTAACAACGGATCCTCTATGATATTAAGATCACCGATAATGAGCAGGTGGTTGGACGGCGGGATCAAGTCTACTACCGGCCGAAGGAAGTCCCGAAGGAAAGCCGCACGGGAAGTCGCACTGGCCGGGAGGTAACAAGCTATGACGGTAAGACGCAGCCCGAGGCCATGGACTTCCGCGGTCACTAATCGACCGGACGGGTGGGTTACGACGTTGGAGAAGCTAAGGAGCGGTGAACGGCATAGAAGAGCTACACCGCCGGCCTTCGTCCTAGGTGAGGTAGCTGCTACGAAACTGAAGGTCGGATGAGACCAGAGAGGATGGTCAGATGGTAATCGAGTGTCAGAGAGGGCAATGATGTCAGCTGCTTGTCTGGACCAGTCAAGAACACGCTGCTGCTTAGTCTTATCTCCTAGGTCGTTGACGTGAAGGCCCGCGAAACTGATGAGACTTTTTTTACTCATTTGATAACAACTTGAGAACCCCTACACATCCACAGGGTTGAGAAGAGAACTGCGCTAACTACTGAGAGGGTTACTACTGACGCTGCTGCCTTCCGACCGAGCTGCTCTTGCCTTAAAACCCATACTCCTTCTTCGTGACGTTGAGACCGGCGCGCTCGAGCGAGGCCCGAGTTGCAGAACCGAGCTTCTCCAGATGGATGAGGTGATTCGCCGAGGTGATGTGTTCCGCTGCAGTCATGAAGCTCTTCCCTTTCGCCTTCCCGCAGCCCACTTGCGTGCAGAGCCATTCTTCCCGGTTCCCTCCAGTGGAGACCAGGACCATGGCCGGATCCAGCAGGACAGGAGTTATCAGCGGTGATGCCGGAAGAGACGCGGCTGCAGAAGACGACTTGGCAGTTAGCCCAAGAGCAAGAACGAGAGCAGGGGAGCGCAATCTGAGAAAAGCAGTTACCATTGATACGGTGAACCCTTCCCAAGGTAAGATTCCACTTCCCTATGTTGTTTTGCCGCTCTGTAATGAAAGCATCATGATTGGCGTCATAATGCTGTCCACCGCAGAGCAGGCAAGACAGCGCAGGAAAGTGGACCAAGAAACGGCGACCGAGCTCCAGGGGGTCCTCAAACACGTGACGCCAGCAGTAGCGGTCACCAGGGTGAGGGATCACGAGGCCCTTAACAACATCAGTATCAGCACCAGTGACGGGATGCAGGACACGATGGAAACAGACGCCATCCTTGAAGGCCGACTGCCGCCGATTCCGCAGCTGGTAAACCACCATCAGCTCCCGCAACATCTCCGATGACTTCGTCGCAGGTACGTCCCAAATCACCACCTCAACTGCTTGCTTGTTCGTCGCCCGCTCGCGCACAAAAGCAGGATCATCCGTGTGCTGCCAGTAGAGCCGGAAGACCGTGCCGTTAGGACGCGTGTAGTCAACTTCCCTGGATCTGATACACATTATGTCCTCTTCGCGCAGGAGGGAGACCAGCAGACGGCTGTAGCGGGTCTTCGCCACATACGCCGGGAGCAGCTCCTGAAACTTCGCCGAGTCGACCGCACCATCAGAAAGCGCTGACGACCAGACATGTCGCATCAAGGTTCGCACCGTGGTAATGATGGAAGCGACCTCCAGAGCAAGAGCCACGGGGATAAGCAGGATTGCAGTATGGCGAACACGGTTGAACGCCTCCGTCCTGACGTCGACTTCAAGCTCCTCGTCAGAATCATCTTCAATGAAGCCACTGTCAGGAGGCGCCGTACGAAGGGAGCACAAGCGCTCCTCCAAGGAAAGTCCAGAGCCGCTTGCAGGAGCATCGGGGATTGTCACATGAACTGACTCCTCCAGAACGTTGTCCTTGCCTTTGTCAACAGGAACAGAAGAAGCGGAAGCAGGAGCCGCGACAGGCGCATCCACAGAAGCCGAAGGAGCCTCCTGCGACGAGACATCTGGCAGGGTCTTGGCCTTTCCCTTAGGCGCCATGGTGCAGTGATGAGGACGAGAAGGCTGTAAAACTTGGGAACAGACGACAAACGTCTGAACTAATGCCTTAACTCTGAGCACCGACATGTTAAATAGAAGAAATCCAGAGGCTGCAGACCATTGTTCTTGATGTTGGTGATGAGAAACCGAGGTAGACGCCTCGGGATCCGTGTCTGTAATAATCTTGATAATGGTACCGTAGACATTGTTGGGCCGCATGATGGATGAAAGCGAAATCTGAAGCCTAGGAGTTAGCAGCGAACCACAAGGAACCTTGAAATCAGTTGCCTGACAGGAAACAAGATCTCGTATGCCGAAAGATACAATGCCAGACGTATAGGCATAAAAGCAGTATCGATCGATACGCCTTGTAACGAGGAATCCAGATCCGAAGTCTTTAAGGTCAACTGATACAGAACCTTCACGGGATCTAGGTTGAAAGCTGCACGACAGTATCCATGGCGGACCAGTCATCTTGAAAGCTGACCAGCATTGGTTGACATAATCAGGTCAATGGCCAAATTTGTCCAGGTTGGAATCTGGACCGTTGATGTTAACAATTGGGAACGGTGAAGATTGAGCCTGAGATATTTGTTCCAAGTTGGAATGACGACCGTCGATCAGCAGATTGTAGTTTGGATACTCAGCCGTCGATATTAAAGGTGCTGTATGGTTAAGATCACAAGTGAGGTGTGTCTAGTTGGAATCTCAGCCGTCTATGACTCCTGGTCCTTCGTGATGCTTCCAGTGACTGATCTTAAGCAACAGCCGTCGATTGATCAGGTACCGGTGGTTAGGATCGAAAGATGAACTGAGTTGGCAGCAATTGATAATGCAGCCTTGTTTTGATTGGTCGATGTTCCATCACAATCTGATCTCGGGCAAGCAGTCACGCCATATATGCCAACGCAAGCACCAACCCAACTCTCATTTCCTAGATCTCTTGGTTTGCTTACATCCCAGCCAGTTGTCCACTACGACCGTTTTTTTCAGCCCCTAGTCCCTTTTCCTAGCTCCATTATGCTTCAAGTCCTTGTCATTCCCTTATGCCTATCCTCTCAGCCTTAGTTGCTGTCATGTATTCTGGTTAACCGGCTACTTCGCTCTTGGCGGGTTTCTTCATTCAGAACCTTACAGTTTTTAAGCATGACTACAACTTTTCTTGCTGTATCAGAGCCGTTTTCAACATTAGCGCCCCCTGGTTTTGCAGGCGACTAGACTGTCTAAGTAGACGTGATTTCTTGTCGTGGCTATAAATCGCATACGCAACGCGACGTGGATTTGACGGCGACCTGATTGTCCAGGTAGCATACCCTATTTACTTATCTTCACTTTCAGCCTTTTTCCAGCGACGTTTTTCTATGTAAAAATTTGTTTCCCGTTTTTGCAGGGACGGATTGAGACCTCGTCACTTCCAAGTTCACTCACGTACGAGAGTCCTTTAGTGTGAAGATGTCGAGAGACTAAGTAATTAACAGTAGAAAGGTGGGGCCTAGGCTTAGTAGCCTAGGCCCTAACTTAAGTGTCGAGCGGGTTTTCACCTAGGGTGAGTGTCGAGTGAGTTGAGAGAGGAAAATTGGAGAATGTGTGTCTTCACTATAGTTTCGAAGTACATATAGCAAAGGAAACACATAAGGTGCACCACCAAACAAAGTTTAAATATCTACACTAACTACAGCTACAGGCAGTTACAAATATATATATTGTGACACTCCCCCATAACTGCCTGCAGCAGGAGTATGTGTAGAATACAACCTGCAGGTGTACACATGCAAAATAAATAGCAAGCAACAGCAGGTAATGCAGGCGGGCTGACACTAAGTGGTCACCCCCTCCATCTCCTCACCCTCCTCCTTCCCCTCCCCCACACTGCTGCAGGAGCAGCAGAGAAGGGGGGGAAGAGAGGAGAGGTGGAGGGACGGCTGCATGTTGCCTCACACCCGCCACCCCGGTACCACTCCCCCTGCTCCCCCACATCCTCACACCTTCTCCCCCCAGCGGCAGCTGCAGCGGTGGGACTGAAAGAAGGAGGAGGGGAAGGGAGAGAGGTGACGCCACACTCCAACACCCTCCACCCCCATACCCTCCTCCCCGCGGCTGCAGGGAGACAAAGGAGGAGGGGGGTGGGAAGGAAGAAAGCCGCAGAGCGGCGAAAAGGTGTCGGTGCAGTGGTGTCAGGGGCGGCTTCAGGGAGTGCAGGGGCGGAAAGGCCCGTCGCGGGCCAGTGCCACGGGGCGCACGACGGGTAGAATAGAAGGGCCAGATCGTGTGCCTCGGGGCGCACGACGAGCAGGGCACCATCGTGTGCCACGGGGCGCACGATGGGCAGACGAAGGGCACCGTCGCGTGCCACGGGGCGCGCGACGGGCAGGGAAGGAGTCACTCGCCCGTGGGCGGGACAATGTAAAAATAAAATCGTCACGCGCCCTAGGCGCGCGACCGGAAAACCTTAGCAGCGGAAGTGTAAAGTGGGCCCACAGGCCAGGACGAACCTAGCTCCGATAACATGTCGAGAGACTAAGTAATTAACAGTAGAAAGGTGGGGCCTAGGCTTAGTAGCCTAGGCCCTAACTTAAGTGTCGAGCGGGTTTTCACCTAGGGTGAGTGTCGAGTGAGTTGAGAGAGGAAAATTGGAGAATGTGTGTCTTCACTATAGTTTCGAAGTACATATAGCAAAGGAAACACATAAGGTGCACCACCAAACAAAGTTTAAATATCTACACTAACTACAGCTACAGGCAGTTACAAATATATATATATTGTGACAGAAGACACATGGGTGTTATGGTTATTGTGGAGACTGTCCTCGTCGTTTCTGTAAATGTATAATCGTGTAAATATTGTTTAATAGATTCAGTGACATGTCTCACCATATGATGAAAAGCGGGAACCTGAAACGAAAAGAAAAATCACAACAATGCGCTTGAAAAACCAACAACGTAGTCACGTTATAAGGACATAGTACTCACATAATAAGGGCATAGTTTGTACAATGTACTGACTTCAGGTTCCTCAAGCAGTAGAGTCATAGCGTGAACTCCGTACAGACTGTATCAGGATGGTATGAGTACGGTCTTTCTATATGAGAAATATGCACAATGTACATTCTACTCAAAATTTGAGTATCCACATAGTATGTACCTTATTTCCACGTGTAGAGTAGCTTGTAAGTCGCAGAACCTATACTTACATAGTCCGTCAGTACAATGTGCGCACTACATAGTTTCAGTGTGTCGACATTGTGTTTACTTAGTATATTTGCCGAACAAATTTGGGATGTCCATCGCTAACTGCTCGCCTTCTCTCACGATAAACAATTGCATTTTAGATCCATCTAATGACATCATTACACATCAATCCGATTCCATATGTGGGATGCTATGGTCCTTCTTCAATCTTTCATCCCTGACGGAGGTCTATCTGAACGCCAACTTCGACGATTATCCTGATAGTTTCGACCATTTATCTTCCCTGACCAAGCTGACACTCGCTGCAAGGTGGATTCACCACTTCCCAGAATCACTCGGTCACGTCACGGGGCTGATCGAGCTGAAGCTGTTCCGAAATGACGGACCGTTAGAGAGTCTACCAGATTCCCTCGGTGAGCTGAAGACATTGGTCAAACTCAGCATTTGCGAACTGGATGGTTGAATCGCTCTTCCTGACACCATCGGCCGCCTCTGGAGCCGCCCGCCACTGCAGCAGCCGCCCCTGGAGCCGCCCGCCACTGCAGCAGCCGCCCCTGGAGCTGCCCGCCACTGCAGCAGCCGCCCCTGGAGCCGCCCGCCACTGTAGCAACAGCCCCTGGAGCCGCCCGCCACTACAGCAGCCGCCCCTATCACCGCCCGCCACTGCAGCAGCAGCCCCTGGAGCCGCCCGCCACTGCAGCAGCCGCCCCTGGAGCAGCCCGCACCTGCAGCAGCCGCCCCAGGCCCCTGGAGCAGCCGCCGCTACAGCAGCCGTCCCTGGCACCTGGAGCAGCTACCGTCGCGGCCCGGCCTCGCCCTGCAGCAGCTGCCGCGGAGCTCCCTGCTGCGGCCCGGCCCCGCCCTGCAGTTGTAGCGGCCCCGCTGTCGCCATCGTCTTGCGCCTGCCGCGCCGACCACTGGTGAGCATTGCCCTGCCAGCACTGCTACTGCTGCTACTGCTGCTACTACCTTTTCAACTCCCACTGCTACTGCTCCTGTTGTTACTGCTGTTACTGCCACTACTACTTCTACTGCTGCTCCTGGCGTGGCCAGATGCAGCTTTAGTGCCGTGCGCGCGAGTCCTTCACGCCCCAGCAGCTTCGTGAGTGGTACGCTAGTTGGGGCTGTCGGGGTGGCCGTAGTGGTAGTCGCTCTGGAGTGGGTCGGTCGGGAGCTTCTGGTTGTGGACAGGTGCAGCTGCCGTGTCCTCGTTCACCCCAGCAGCTTCATGAATGGTACGCCAGTTGGGGCTGTCGAGGTGGCAGTAATGGTAGTCGCTCTGGAGTGGGTCGGTCGGGAGCCTCTGGTGATGGACACTTCAGCTGCCGTGTCCTGTGAGTGAGGTTGCCGCTCTAGGTGCTAGTGCGGCTGCTACCCCAGGTGCTAGTGAGGCTGCTGCTTTAGGTGCTAGTGAGTCTGCGCCCCCTGGTAGTGAGTCGACTGAGGCACTGCACACCTTCACTCTGGACTCAGGTGCTTCTCGCTGTTTCTTTTGTGACCGCACTGCGCTTGAGCCGCTTGCTCGGCCAGTTGCTGTCTCCCTCGCTGACCCCTCTGGGGGTCCGGTCATTGCAACCTCCTCCACTGTCCTTCCTTGTCATGCGGTCCCGTCGGGCACACTGTCAGGTCTCCACCTCCCCTTGTTCTCTACGAACTTGGTGGCAGGTTGTGCGCTCCAGGACGGAGGTGTTCACCAGTTCACCCCTGCCTACGAGCGCGTGACACACTGCACGTGTGCTCGGACGGGCCGTCACCTGGCTACCTTCACTCGGCAGCCGGGGTCGGACCTGTATACACTGACCACTGAGTCCC